AGTGCGTTCACCCAGACAAGGGGCTCAACTCGTGGGCATAGCTATGGAGGCTTCACATTCCAGCAACATCATGCTATTGACCATTCTGAGACACAGCACAGCCACACCAAACATATAGGTCCCCAAGCATGGACCTTGTCTATCCTGACAGCCAGGACAGAGGCTGACCGTGTGCGCAAAGGAACAACAGAGTCATGCCTGGTGGTGGCTTTCCTGAATCAACACTTGGCTACGGTTGCTTGGCAGTCTTCAGTCACCCTGCAGGCAGGGCCTGGAGCTCACCACCTGTGTGCAGGGTCCTCCCTGTCTTGCTCCACTGCTCCACTTTCCCACTGTAAGCTTGGAAAAGTAGCATTGTGACGGCAGTTATTTCTTCCCTCCTCCCAGCAAAAAAGCAACACTAAAGTCAGAGTTGAATACGTGGCACTTTCCTGACCCATGCTCTAAAAGCTTTTCTGTGGTGATGGTGCTGGTGGTTGGTTTTAAGTCTATTCTTCCAAGCACAGGCTCAATTATGTGGGTACAGAGCTTGTATCCCAAACCAACCAGCTGTCCTGGTGGGGCAGAACTTCACCTCCCCCGCTCAAATGATCATGATCTTGACTCCTAATGCCAAGGATTCGCTTTCACTGCTTTTGGATCACCTGTAACAGAATCACACACTCATAATCTTTAGTGTCTTTGGTCAGCTCAAGGCCGAAGTCAATCCTAGCACACAGAGTCCCTAAGAGCCTCTGAGTGTCACCCACAGGAGCCATTCCTTCCTAAATGCCCCAAAGCATTAGCTCAAACCAGTGCAAAGGGTGTTTCCCAGCAGTGAGCAGCGGGGAGCCTCTTTCGGCTCTTACCTGGAGCCCCACAGGAGAGGCTCTCAGGGATACTCCCTGGCCTTCAGGATGCTCGTGCTGAAGGGACAGGGCACTTCTGGCCCCAGATGACTCCAGGGCGCAGTCGGCAAGGGGCAGGTATGGCTTTGAACAAACCATCCCCAGGAGGAGAAGACTGAGTTTCAAACAGAACTGTAACCTAATTCAGCTCAAGGACCTCCATTAACCACTGAAAAGGGAGCCAGGGTAGATCTGAGCTGGTAGCATAGAATACTAACAAAAGCTGGTCTACAGTAGCTTGAAGGGAAATCTTTGAAAAGTACCTCCCTGGGAGCAGCTGCTCTGTCTCAAAAGAGCTGGCAGAGTGCTTCTGTTAACACCCAATTGGCATGATTGGCTACGTCAGGCTGCAGTGTCAGGCCAGGAGCTACTGAGCTGAGTGCTGTGCCATCTGAGCTCTTGCAGCAATGAGTGGGCCCTAGTGGGGCAGAAACAGCCCCGATCCTGGCTCCTCCTGTCCCTGACTACTCACTCCCTAAGCTCTCTTGGCCTATCCATGATCCTAGGTGGAATACGTCAGGGCATGTAGCATGTAAGTGTGCCCATGTAAGAACAAGAATGTACAGCTTGGCTCGATGATGAGTTACGAAACGTGACAAGCCTTTTCTGTGACAGTGAATGGTCATTCTGTCGAAAGCTCTGCTTTCTGTTGAGTCACTTTAACAAAGTACATGGCCCCCTTCTGTGCAGCAAACAAGTGCAAGAAGCTGCGAAAGCCTACAGCATCTAGAGATGGGGACCCATACGTTTATAAGTCTGTAGCTTTACAGAGAGACTAACGCTGTGTTATCCCAAGCTGGACATTCACAAGGGAAATTCAACCATGGATTTCAGAAATGGGCGAATTAACAATACAGACGATGCCATCATAGTGTAAGGTACCCAGGGCTGGTTTTTGGTCTTGTTTCCGCTCTTCCTAATACACAGTACAAATCATTCCTGCTGACTGCTCAGCTGTCCAAACACAGTAATTCTGGCACCACACTAGTGACAACTAAATATGAGGTCATGAATGTCTTGGCTCCAGTGATTTTAGCGAGAGTGAGTAGTGGGAGTGGGTTACACTGTGCTCGGGGATTCCCACACCCCACAGCAGACTGGCTGGGATCAGGGAGACAACAGATGCTGGTCCTCATACTTGGGTCCTGGTGTCCAGGACAGAGCCAGATGGAGCTGCCAGTTTCTAACTTTGCCCTGTAACAGCGCTGGCTGGACTTTTGGGGAGTGAGCCAGTAAATGGTTCATCACTCTCTTTGTCTCTCTCTCTCTCCACTTCTTCCCCTATGATCCCTCGTGCCACTTTGCCTTTTAAATAAATAAGTAAATCTCCTGATTAAAGAGAGGCCAGTGGGAGGCAGAAAGGGCTAACAGAAAGCCGTTCACCTTTCGTGCCTACAAGTTTTGCGTGGATGTTGGACTATGAAGTCATCACCACAGAACGGTGGTTCCCTGCTCAGGGCTGGAGCCTCCCCTTCCATTGGATGTCGCTCTGCAGGTCAGCAGAAAATGCTTCCCTTTCTGCCCAGAAATGCAAGTACTCAAGTAGGCATGACAAGCACAGCAAAGCAAATATTAATACTAAAGATACAAGACGCTTCTCCCTGATGCTGAGTGTACTGTCACCAAGAACCTTAATGCTATGGATACCCAATGCTACAAACAGAGACTGCGACACACACACACACACACACACACACACACACACACACAGGTACACATGCAAACACACACAAGCACACGACACATGCACACACACAGACACAGGCACTCACCACCCCCCATCCCCTGGCTCACTCCCCCAATGCCTGCCTGAGTGGAGGTTAGGACTGAAGCTAGGATCTGAGGACTCAATCACGGCCTCCTTCCCAGGGCAGCAGAGGCCCAGTGGCTTCAGCCCTCACTGCTGCCTCCCCGACTCCACATCAGCAGGCAGCTGGAGGGAGAGGCAGAGCCAGTGCATGAACGCAGGGGCTCCGACTCGAGAGGCAGGAGTCTCACTGCAAGGGCCAAACACCTGCTCCCAAACGTAAAACGCAATACTGCAGAACAGAACGACACATACGCACTCTGCTTTCATAAACAAAAGCTTAACAGAAGTGTTTTCAAAGACTCATGCCTCTGCACTGAGAGTGAAACCTACAAGACAGCTGTGATGGCACAGCATGGCAGAGGAGGCACTTACAGACGCGTGTGACTTTGGTTCTATTTCAGGAAGAGATTTCGAACAATCTCTGCTTCCCAAACATGGAACCAGCCAACTCTATATTGGTTCCTGCAGAGTGGCATGGCCATCCATCTGTCGGGATGGGGCAGCTGGCCCTGTTATGGCTCCAGGGGGAGCAGGTTGGTTGGGCCTGTGAGTCTCAGAGGACACAAACCCCCTGACCACAGCTCCCAGGAAGCCCACACACCATCCTCATATTTCTCTCTGAAAATCTGAAGAAGAAAAGCAACAACCAACTCCAGGGAACAGCTGGATGACACAGAGGGCTTGTCTGCCCTTCGATTGCCTACAGATTTCTGGGTATTTCATGATTTAACAAAAAAAAAAAGTACAAAAAAGAAGGCCAAATTAAGTCCACAAGATTTAGCAATCAGAAAAAGAAGGTGCTGCAGGCAGGAACTGGAAAACTGAGTACCACGAAACTCAGGCCACCTTACAATGCTATGGCGCTCATGCTGCCACCAGACTTACAGAGGACAACTGTGCTGCACGCAAGTGACATTCTTGTGCAAATAGCTAAAAGGCTCAAGAGGTGGCAGATGGAATCTTGACACTGGGCTCAGAGCCTCGGCCAGCTGTGACCTGATGTCATCCGCCCGGAGTCCTTGCCTGATCCAGAGAACACCCTCACCTGTTAGCAGAGACATTCTACTGCATCAGCAAAGGCTTCACGGGGTTTAGGAGAGCTGAGAGATACCGAGACTACGTAAAAGCAAAGAAGCCCTTCTGCAACACTCCCCACGTTGGGCGGTGTCATTTTTCAGCTTTTCTCTGTCACAAACCTCGTTAGCAAAAACATAAAGGGAGACCTCAGTCAGCAGCACAAAACATGATCACCGTGGCTTATTTCAGGGATAACCCGGCAGTCTTGGAGACAAACATTCCACTCTTGTAAGGAGGGCGCACACGTCCGCCGTCAGCTCAGAGCACTCGCTTTCTCCGAGCCTCTGAAGCAGTGACTGCCGCCCACTCTGTGAGCCCAAGAGGCACGCACCGAGGGCAAGACTGGACACAAGTGACGTCATGCCACTCTGGGGGGATTTCCCATGACGTGACTGCAGGGAAGAGAAAGGCGTGAGGACAGAAGCCGAAGGCACGGCACAGTCCCCACCTGTGTGCCCTCTGGGATCCCAGCTGTCACCTCAGCAGACAGCATCCAGGACTGGGGCCTGAAATGTCATCAATTTCAGAAGGGAAATTGTGAGTTGGCCATTTTCTTCTCTATGTGTAAAGGCCAAATGGATGGGATTTTGTAAGATCTGATAGTGTTGATGATACTGGTGGGAGTGGAAATTCCATTTCAAGCTCTTCTCCAATTCTAATTTAAGGAGACAGACACCTTTGTAAGGGGTCCACAGAACAAAGAAAGAAGTGTCAGTTTATGTAAGATTTTAAACTCTAAAATCCCCAGGAAATGACAAACTATTTCCCCATGTTTATCTCTTAATGCTCATCAAGTTTTAAAAAGATCTCTAGGAAGATGTCAACATTCAAATGACTGGTAGGGCTGGCCTGTGTCCTGCTGGCTGAGATGCCAGCCAGCATAGGTGCATCTTGTGTTGAAGTACCTGGGCCTGATACCTGGCTCTGGTTCCAGACTAAGGCAGCCCCCAAGGAAGGCAGCAAGTGAGAGCTCACGGAATTGGGCTCCCAGTTTGCCATGGGGAGACCTGGAGTGAGTCCCCGACTCTTGGCTTTGACCCAACTTCTGGCTCTGTCTCTGCTTCTCAAAGCAGCAAAATAAGAATCCAAGCTGAAAAATGCCATGAAAAATCAGAAATGGAGACTGATCAGAGAGATGACCAACCTGCCCTTGAGATGCCAAGGGCCTCCGCTCTCCACAGAGAGGCAGCTGGGCCATGACCTGGGCCCAGAGCAGGGACACTCACCCAGCGTGTCCTTGAGGTTCTTCACGAGGGAGCCCTTCTTGAGGCTGTTCTTGCGCTCCACGTAGTTGGATGGCACATAGCCTGTTCTGTTGGCCGCGTTCCGCACTCGCCACCACGTCTTGGAGTCGTCCAGCAGCCACAAGCGCTCGTTTTTCTTGATGTCCAGCTCCTGGTCCTGCTGGGCGGTGTAGTCCCACTTGGCGATAACAATAACTTCTTCTGTCATCTTTCATGGAGTCCTTCTGTCAGAAAAACATTTGGAGAGGCTCATTAGAGAATGGTCCAGCCCTCCATCCTCAGCCTCAGACATTAGCCAGTTGCAGCTCCCATGGCTGCTCTGTAAATTGAGCTCTCCTGGGCCTGAATCGCCCTAGCTCAGAGCAACTATTTTTTTCCCAGCAGGCTTCAGGAGCATGTGTAGTAATAGCAGCCCTAAAAACCAGATCCAACCTTACCGAGAGCTGTGCCCTGGAATCCCTGTGAGCTCCATGAAGAGCCAAAACAAACTTTCAACCAAGGATCACAACAGTGCAAAATTCAATGCGCTCACTTAAGGGAGCCGACGTGTGTACAGCCATTTCTTAGGATAAGCCGAGTTTCCCAAATGTGCTTAATAAACACAAAATACACAAACCACTCCTGAAAGTCAGAATTCATGGAGTACTGACACCATGAGTCATCCTGGATGGGATAAGGAAATCAGTTAGAAACACTGCTGAGGTCTGAATGGTAACAGCAAGACACCAGTGCTAATTTCTCTGCCTCCACAACCTGCTAAGCGTCATGTGAGAAGCAGGGGAAGGGTCATGTGTATGCTGCCTACTATCTCCCCAACTTCTCTATAAATACAAAATAATTCCTGCAAACAGATCTACACCAAAGCCTACCAAGGTTATTCACAACAACTTCATCCACAGCTGCCCCACCCTGGAAGGAGCCCAAGTTAGTATGTGAATGAACTGGAGAATATAGATGATGGAGCACTACTCAACACAACATCACGAGCTGTCAAGCCATGGAACGACCCTGGGGAGCAAAAGAAGCCAACCCAGAAAGACTGCCCACAGTACAACTCTGACAAAGCTTCCAGCCCAAGCTCCACCAGCCTGGCTCCTCAGGATTGTCCACCCAGTGGGGCCTCAGCCTTGTCCTTCCACATCCCTCTCTGCCCCACTCAGCCTCAGGAAGATTCCTGCAGAGTTGGTCCAGCTGGACTCTCTGTCTCTTGACACCTGGTCAGGTTCCTCTCCCTCCCTGCCCTCGCCACCTCCTGCCCTGCCACATTAGGTCATCTTCATCTGCCTTCAACAAGAATCCTGCTGGATCACCAGACTATCCCATAGTCCTGCCGCTCCTCTTACCAATTTTTCTCTCCACTGATCAGCCCTACTGCAAAACTATTATAGGAGTCCCCTATTTTAAAAATAAATAAATAAAAAGTCTGCCTTACTGTGCAAATGCCATGAATAATTATTTTCTTTAATAGCTCCAACTATGAGACACTCTGGAAAAAACCAATCTATGAAGACAGTAAGACGATCTGTGCTTGCCAGGAGCAAGGGAGAGAAGAGACGAGTAGGCAAAGCACGCAGAATTTTCAGGGCAGTAATAGGGGTCTACTTAACTCTCAGATGACGACTACATGTCACAATACATTTGTCAAGAGTTCAACAATGTACAACAATTAAAGTCAATGTCACCTAAAATTACTGCAAAGCAAAAGTTCATCAAAATAGCCATGAATCTGGTATTTTCTGTAGCTGGTGAGGTCAATTTTGATAGCAACAGAGTAAAAGTGTACCTGATTAAACAGAAGCAAGACAGTTATCAAGTACTCCATCAACTCCACACTCTTCAGGCAGAAGATGGGCCAGTGTGCCTGCAGCAGGAAAAACAAGTATTCGCTCCTTCTACTGACCACACACCTCCCCCAAACCAGGCACTGATTCCTCTTGATCCTAACACCTTTCCTGCCCAGCAGAGAGCGGGTCTCGTTATTGTAAGGGATGATTCCAGGACTACAAAGGCGTCCTGTAGTGCTGACTCTACGGGAACATGCACACCATTTTTAAGTAACATGACACTTTCTTCTAGAAGCAGAAGATGCTTATACATAATGCATGCCCTCCTCTTTCGTGAATTAATTTCCAGACTCAGAGATAACAAATCTTTGGGGAAGGAAGAACTGCTCTGTAAACCCTTATGAGTACTGCACCCGCTTTACAAGAGGCTACTGTTGACCCAAAACTCATTTTTATAACTGGAAGTAATTCTGTTCATCTACTTTCAGAAAATCTCAAGTCCATACCCCCCTAGCTCAATCACGGGTCAGCTTAGGCTTCTGAAAGGCCAATTCCTAAGGAGAGGTGATAGGCAGCAATAATGGGCATGGGGTTTTTGGATACCAGGGCTGCTGCTTCACTGAGCTATTTCCAATTATTATTATTATTATTTTAAATAGCACCTATTGAGATTTGGCCAATGAAAGCTCTTTATCAGCTGCTCTGCCACACACATAGAAGTTACATAAGCAACCAGCTTGCCATGGTCCACTTGGGAGTACAGAGAACGTCACACAGGAGCTAAGAGGCCTGAGCTCCAGCCTTCTGTCTCAGCACTTCCAAGGGTTCTCGGGATGAGAAGCCTCTCACAGCTGGCCAGGCAGAATTTCAGGGCAAAACTAAATCAGAGGAAACTGAGCCACGAGCACCTCTTCATCCTCATTGACTCTTCCCCTGGCCCCACGGGAAGTTCTGTGGACCACAGTGAAATTGAATGGGCTCACTTCTGGAAGTAATTTTGACACCTAACACTAGCCAACGTGTTTCATCATGACACCACCTTTCCAGAAGGTGTTACCTTCTAGGACATGAGGAACGCAGAAACCAAGTGACTTGTTTAAGACAGTCACTAGAGCTGAGCCCAGGTCTGACTCCCAATGCTGCACTCAAGTGCTCACTCAAGGGGTGGCTTTGGCAAGTGCTGTCATGTGTGGTCCATGTTCCTTGCCCTGGTGAGCATTCAAAGTCCCTACGCACATTAGGGAATGACTGGCTGTTCTGGGCCATACTAACAGGTTTTAGCCCTATTCCAGTAGTTTACCATATCCTATCAAACACACACACACTTCTGGAGGCTGCTTCCGAGGTCCACTCGACCAACCGCAGCCACAAGCAAGTGAAGTCGGTCAATCTACCACTTCCTCATTCCACATGAAGATCAACCACCAACCAACCACGGCCACAAGCAAGACAAGTCGGCCAATCAACCACTTCCTCATCCCACAGGAAGATCAACCAATCAACCCTTAAACAGCTCTAACTTCTGAAATTTGAGGAATTTTGGAAGCCAAAATTCTTCGCAGGAAAGTCAAACTCTTTGCACAGCAGACTGATTTAGCAGTCTCTCTCCGTTTCTAATTCTGATAAAGAGGCAACTTCTTCATTTACATAGCAGGACTGGGTCATTGCGCTCAGGGACCCCAAAGCAAGGGGGGAAAGACACTCCCAGCCCCCAGCAATGCTACTGCCCTGTATCACAGCAGAATCTGAACTTCATTTTCTTGGCCCACACAGGTTGGAAAGGCCATTCTGAAAGCCATGCATGCTGGGAAAGAAGGGTTGAGATTTTCCCCCCACTGAGGCATTGGGAAGCTGTTTCTTAGGAGTCCAGCAAGAGAACATGGTCTTTTCACTAAAGAATGATATGCTACTGTGCACGTGATGGACTGGGAGAGGAAGCACCTGCAGATGCCTCATGACTTCACAACAAAGCAGACACACCAAGCGACCAGGATTGCCAACACGGGAAAAGCACCCAGAAAATGGAGTCTTGCACATTCTACCTAACCAACAACTCCATACACAGAATCACGGAGGTCAGATCCAAAGAACTCCAGCAGAGCCAGTTCAAGGAAACCTAACCTTGCCTTTGTTACGCACAGCTAAGTTTACCACCTGGGTCTAGCACGTGGAGAGAGGAGCCAGACACTTAGTATTATACCATGAGATCACCTCCGTTAAGTCACATCACTGCTCCGGAATACAGAGCTCAGTAAAAGCCTCGAATTATACGAGAAAAAGAAATGCCCAGCGAGAACTTACAAGTTAGACTGCTTTTTCCAGTCTTGGAAGATGTAGGGGAAAAAAAACAGAACAAAACTAAAAACCAGAAAATGTAATAGTTGAAAAAACTGTCTTGGCTGAACAGTTTTCACCAGCCCCTAAAACAACACCAACCCTACCCCAGGACCCTGTTTTCTTTCTAAGCCTGATGCTGTGAGCTGGGGCATGCTGGTGTGTGCAGCACTATAACAGACAGCGTTCCTTCAACATCCAAAAGTGCTCACTGCTGCTTTCAGAGGCTACTCAGTTTTCACAGAAGAGGTTCCAGTCTAAGACCATGCTGATGACCCACAATAATGTCAAGGGTTAAGAGGGTGGGCTCAGTGTCACCAGGCCACGGGCTGCACTTCTGCCTGCCACACCACCTTCGTCCAGCTGCGTCTTGGACAAAGTAGGGCAGTATCAGTACCTCATTTAGAAGCACGTGAAAACAAAAACAAAAGCACTTGAGACCACTGCCTGGCACAGCACGGACTCACGAACCACCACGGTGCGCCTCGGTATGCAGGGTTCCACACCTGTGAGTTTCACATGCGCAGGTTCTGCATCTCAGATTCCTACCAACCAACATCTGAATATTCAGGAAGAAATTTGCATCTAACCTGAACACGTACAGATGGTTTTTTTCCTTGTCTTGTAATCCCCAAACAATACAGCATCACCACAATTTATGTGGCACTGATACAGCGCATCAGGCATGGTAAGTCCTCTACATTTGACTTGAACTTCTTATTGACGAGATGTGCCTCGGTTCCATGCAAACACTCCATGATTTTACAGGAGGGACTGAGTCATCTGTAGTTCCAGTCTCCACGGTGGGGAACCGATGTGTGGATACCCGGGGATGACTGGTCCCAGCCAGGAATACTGTACTCCATACACACGGGCAGGACCATGTCCTAGCCACCTCTTTCTTCATCCAAATCAGATCTTCCTGAGTATTGATGGGTACCAAGGTACTTTGCTGAGGAATACAGACTTAGAGGCCACTCTCTCAGGACTCAGGGTCAAGATTATGTGGCACCTCCTTCATTATCCAAGTCATTTTCAGGGTGCTGGCAACTTGCTTTATATCTTTGAAAGGCATTTAACCTGCGAAAAACCCCTCACTTTTTTGT